TATATATATATATATATATATATATATATATATATAAAGATTCATCTATATGAACAGCATGAATTATTAAAATGAAACTTTCCGACAGTAATGACATAAAGTAGTTGCCTTATCAGTTTTTTGGTTTCTTTACTTTTTCCAGTGTGCTAGTTGTGTATCTACAGAGACAAAAACACGTATACAGTTACTTGAAGAATTACATAAAGTAATACTTTTTTCATAATAGAACTACACTATGCATTTCAAAAGATCTAGATATATATATATATATATATTTATTGAAAGTTGAAAATCCTGTATATTAATTTGTAAAATACACAAAAGAATATGTTTTACTTCAGTACTAAAAATTTGGTGATTTCAATATGTTTTGAAACTTGTAAGGGAATATCAAAATTTGCATTAAACATTCATTTCATTAGAGTACCTATTTTAATGTACATCACACATCAAGACCGTGTTAGTTACATAGGTAACACTTTTTAGAAAATACATAAATAATCATGTACTCCCAACTGAAGTAACATTTTTAGTGGATTCTTGTGCATTTATAGAATATATATTTTGTACTATCAATCACAGGAATATATTTCCTAAAGGTGGCAGAAAATATTCTGTTGATCATGGTTACTTCACTTGCTTTTAGTTATGTTATTTCTATAGTTTCAGGTGATAAAAGCAATGTTTTTCAGTATTGTGTAGTAAACTATAAGATTACAAGAAAGGGTATATTTAGGTTTAACACTTAGATGATATTTTTGTGATTGTTTTTTTTTTATTTGAAGAATTAAAAAATCAAGAGTGAAATTAGTTTCATTACCATGGTATTATTATTATCTTGTTGAATTTTAATGGTCTGATAATAATTGTATGTTCAGGAAGTTCACTTGACTCTGAACTCAAAAAAAAACTTTTACGGGGCATAGAAATTAAATTTTGCTTAGTTGTTTTCAGTGTTTTTAGCATTCCTTGCTTCAAGTAAGTAAATATAAAATTTAGAATTCTGTATTGTTTGGTTCAATTCTGTATAAGAAATTAAGTCAGGCAAATTATAATGCTGTTTTATCTTCCACTTTTTAGTAAATCATGACAAATAGAAATGTTACCTCAACATTGGATTTGGTAATTATTTATGAGAATCAGGATGTACCAGCAGTTGATTGTTTGTTCAGAAACACTATAAAAATCGTTTTAAAAATTACACCTTTGTTACTGGTAGAGAACATCTGTTGTAGGAAGGTCTTATGTTGGATCCCATTAAGCTGGTCGTGATATTTTTATCCAATTTTGAAGAAAGTGTGCTTGATCCTTTTTAAAAGTATAAGGAACTTTTGACCATGCCAGAGAGTTCCTTCTCAGTCCAGTATGAAATTTTTATTTTTGTGTAGTTTGAATAACCAGATCAAACCAAATATGTTTCTCCTATTTGTGACAAATGAAAGTTTTAAAATTGGCACCTGAATGATAGAAATAATCTTTCAGAAAGTTTCACATGTTTTATTAACAACAATGGAATAAAACAGTTTAACTGTTGAACGTCAGAAATTCCATGAGCCTAAAAACCTGTAGTTATTATTATTATTATAAACATTCATTTGCCTAAATATTGTAATTTTTTTGTTATCAGAGAAATTCATGAATAGTGTTTTGGTGATAAAACTTCTGAAGAAGCCATAAATAGGTTTAAAATGGTATAATAAGTTCATATGAATCATGTTTTCTTTATTTTGCATTTTGTATACTTTTCTAAATTAAAAAAAAAAAAGAATTTTATTTAATTTGATATGATATTAACTGTGTAAATAGTTATTATAGAGGTCAGCATTAGTGGGTGTATTACATGATTATGAAGCTATAAAGAGAAGGACGTAGATTTTATTTTAGTAATACCCAATACTTTTACTGTTGAAGTTTAATCACTCGACACTAATGCTGACTTCTTTTATTGACAACTTAAATGTCTCTCTTCCTCTGAGCAGCAGGTCTGCCCTGACTCTAGCTCACTCCCGACATTACCGTACTGAGACTACAGCGACAAGCATGCTTTTGAAAGTTTGCTCTACAACAAAACTTCTGGTTTATTGGCCCATCCATTTGATCGAAAAATGCTACTGATTGTACCAATATTAGTTAGGGATGCTGCGCACAACGCAGTAGTTAGATTTAAAAGTAGTAGGTTAGCTGTAGGTTCAGTACCAAACAAAGGTGAATCAGTCTGGAGATGATTGATCTCCCGTACAACATTCAACCGCAAAGGTGAGAAAGTAGCACTACTTTTGGCAGAAAACCATAACAAACAATGAGTGTCAGCTTTAAAGGATATCTTGGTGTATTTAGTAATTAATGTATTTTATTGTAAGCTACTAAATTTTGATAGAATAAATAATTTGAATTAAAGAGTATCAATTAGTAATGACAATGCATTTATGATTCGGATCTACATCTTTGTGTATGTATGTTTAATTCCATCCATTAATGATGGACTAATTGAGATCACTTTGCTTTCTCTGTGTAATAAACTTTTTTTTTTTGAAGAGCATGATGATAAATGGAATAACTTTGATATTGTTAAATAAGTTTTTTATTGACACAAAATGTTTAAGCTTTTAAAACCAAAATATAGTTGCTAAAATATAATACAGGTATGCGAGGGAAAATGGAGCAGGTTGGGGAACATTGGTAACACATTTCTCTAAGTGACTAGAGCTAAGTATTCCTTGCAAATCATGTCCTTTTTTTTCTTTTTGCATTTGTTCATCACTATTCAGGTTTAAGTCTAAATATCATCCTGAAGAATGTGGTAAAAGAAGAGCAGATCAATTATTTGCATTGAAACGGCGTTTGGATGTCTTTAAAGAGCTTTTCCAAAAAGGATGGGTTGATGCTGTTAGTATAGATGTAGAGAAGTCTGATCAGATTATACGTTTACTTGATGCAGGTACAGATGCAGTTTTCATTTTGACTTATGTTTAAGATATTAAAGATATTTATTTCCCTTAATTATATTGCTTAAAAGAGTATTTTGGGCCAAGGCAAGTGTTAGTATTTTAACCTTGGTGAAAAATTTTACTCATTGAAAGAAGTAATATTAAAAATTTCAATTCTAAGAAGAATTAATTTTGAAAAACTTCTAAGAAATAATATTAGTACCTAAAAATTAAAAACAAAAATATTTTAATCCTTACTGGACTGGTGGCATGATTTTGGCACATTCTGCATTTACATTCATAACAAATTAAATCTGAAATAAAACTATATCTAAAACAGACATACCTCAGACATAACCATGATAATCATTGAATACTTTTATGTCTGAATTAGTTTGTATTGATAAATTTACAATAAATAATACTGAAAACCAGGTTTTACTGATGTTTATTAGCAAAATACAATCACAACTCTAATTATGTCATACTGTCCAGCTTCTCTTGTATAGCATTACAACTATTTCATTTACAAAAGTTACCTATTTACTCCTTTTAGAAATTTTGTTTAGCTATTAGAATATTCTGACAATAAGATGATAACAGTTATATGACATAAATGCTAAAATTTTAAAGAATTAGTTTTAGCATAAAGAACATTTTGCAAATAGAGAATAAATGTTTAAAACTGAAGTGATTGTTATGTTTGACTTGTAATTATAGGAGCAGTTAACTCTCTCAACACAGGCTCTGTCAATTTGAATGACCACGTGACCTCTTTGTATTTGTTTAAAGTCTTTATAGATTTAATACTTCTAACTGTCAATACAGTGTGTATATCTTCACAAAATTTGGCAGTCTTTCAGTTAATATTACAAGTCTTTCACATATAAAAAAATCATATTTTTTAGTGAAGTATTTTTAATTAAATAAAGATTTGTCCATTAAGATATTGAGTATTTGTTTTGAATAGTCTATGTGTTAAGTAATTTTCATGTTAGAATTAAAAATACTTTTCCTCATCTCAAAAATCTCCTATGTGTAATACCTAAAAACCTTCAAAGTGCATTTAAAAGTTGTTTTTTTTCAGTAAAACTGTACAGTTTATCTGTTATTTTCTCTACTCTGTCTCAAAATGGAATTGGTCAATTCGAACGACCTTGTAACTACTGAAAAAAAATCTGAATTACCCTTTTTTTTCTTTAGAATAACTTGAAAATGTAACATGAAACTACATTAGTTTATCCTAAGCAGCTCCAAGTTCATAACAGTATACATCTATTTATAATTAAATTTGTAAATCACTCGAGGAAAGAATTACATTACCCACGAGCTGCTCGCATGCGTGCCTCATGAAACATTTTTATTATAATATTATTTATTTTACCTAATCTAATCTTAACTAACCTGAAAGGATCCTTATTTTTACATTTTAATTGCTTTTATAATCACACACAAAGAATAAACGAAAAACAAGAAATAAAATACTTAACCAATCCTTTTTTCTTGCAGTCGATTGTCGAAGAGAGTTAACCCTAATTATTTTATACTAATGATAGTAATGCACTTAATAATTTTTATTTAATTAAATAATGCACCAAAGAATATAGACTGACAACATCCAAAAAATAGACAAAGGCCCTTACCTCTCAAATTTTTCTGGCTCTCTAACTATGCTACAAGAGTCATTACAAATTCATCTAATATAGTCGTTAGTGTTCACTTGGGAACAATGTTGGTACTCTGAGAGAAATTGACATTTATCCATGTAGAACATAATCTTATACAACATTTAATTTGATAGATAAAACCTTGACTTTCCATTGGTTATAGATAATATGTAATTAAACATAAGTAAGAACTATTAACGAATTCTGAAAGAGAGCACATGACAGGTAGGCGTGGCAGGAAGGGTCTGATTTTCTATTTGGTAGCTCTGTAACCAAACAGAATTGAAAACTATAAAAATTGTGGTTTATCTGAGCAATGATGATTTTATAGAGTAATTTACATTTAATATCATACATTTTTGAGAGATGATGGATAAAATAGGAAAGATGACATTCTAAAAGAAAATGTATCACATGGGTTTCACTAGGGGAAATTCAGGATTTTTTTAAATATTGCCATGTAGAATTAAGAACTTAAAACTTATATACTATTAAAATATAGATTATTAGCTAAGATTTCATGCTATTCTAATTGGTATAACATAAACAAAAAGTAGTTTAATAACACTTTGAATGTAAGACAGTGAAACCTTGTGTCATGTGCAGTGAAGGATACACATCGAGATAGTGTTAATTGCATAACACTATAGAGGCAGAATTGTAAAACTTGTTATCTGTACTATTATTCTACTTGTTTGTATGTACAACCGTTACGCTTTCTGACAGAGAACCTCCTGCATAAGCATGTGTAGTTAGAATGTTTCCCCCCAAAAAAAATACGCATGCGCATCATTCACTGGACGACAAACAGTCTGCCTGCCACAGAGAGCTGCAAAGCTCAATGATCAAGTCGCTACAATTGCTGTATGAAACAAGAAGTAACAACAAAAGGGGAATGTAAATATACTTTACTAACCTTTTTGTACAACAGAATATTAAAACTTATCAAAGTTTTTAAAAAAGGTTTGACGTTAGGTCGTAGAATAACATTATAAGTTTGTTTATCGATAGTATTAAGTACAGTAAAATTTAATCCTAACTAAAGTAAAAAAAATGTACACAGGTTAGAGTGTTAATTTATCTCTTTATTGAACTTAGGCCTAACATAAGTTAAAGTTTTATAAAGTACAGCCTATATACAAGTGGATTTAGACATTTTGTTGTGTACGATTACAGTTCATTTGTATTGTGCTAGAAATGTTATATTTCAAGGCTTACTGTTACGATAAAGATGCTAATTTGGCCGGAAATGTTTTTCGGGTCTCTGCTAGTTTTCAGTATTCTGTAAATTCTCAAACCAGATGTAATTGTATTTCTAGTATTTCAAAGGAGTTGGTTATCTATACTTTTTATTTACACAATTCTGAATGCTAAGTGAGATGTAATGATTTTGTAGAGAAATAAGTGCACAGATTTTTTTAATAAGTTTATAATAATTCAGTGGTCTGTCTCTTAGTTGTGATCAAACTTGAAGGAGGTTCCGACAATGACTTAAATGTTTTGGATGAACCTTATGAAGAAGAAGAGAAACCCAAAGAACCAGAGCCTTTCATTTTGGGTGACAGGTAAGAATAAGCTTTGATTTTATAGTTGAAAATAATATTTGAAGGTCATCTTTTCACATATGTGGCAACACTGTTCTTAAGAAGATACCTCAAAGCAAACATTGTAGGTTTCTCATTCTTGATAAGTCAGGAAATGTCTAAGAAGACATTGCTTAATAAGAAAACATAGGTTTAAGTTCTGTATTGGATGAATAAATTATGAAATGCTAATATTGTTACTCTTCACTCATTGTACACTGGTTGGGAAGAACAATGTAATGTGTAAAAATTCAACTGTAAATTTATAAAGCCAGTGCTAAGTATAATATCATATTGACAGAATATGAACACAATTTTGTCAGTTTAAAAGATGGTGTTTTATATGAATATCAGACCTGTTTCTTACATCAAACATATCAAAGAGAATACAGAAATGTTTGCAACTCACTGGTTGGTCTTATGGTAGGTTGATAAATCTATCATTTAGAATTTTGTTTAGCCATTTAGTATTATTAATCAAAATTTATTTTTATCATTGTGAAATCATACAGGAAAATGTTTGAACAGTAGTTATGAAGATTTCAGAGCATTTGATAATATGACAAAACAAAATTGTTCACTAAAATCAATACCTTAAGGAAACAAACTTATGAGAATATATTGAAGATTTAATAAATTCGTTTGTTTTATGGCAGTTAGTTTAAATATATAACCTCTCCCAGTATGTGTGTAAATACTGTTCGTAAGTCAAACTCTTAAAGCAGCATTTAATTTTTTTATTTTCTAATAGTGACATCAAAGAGGAGAAAGATAAAGAAGAAAAGGATCTTTCTAAGGTAGGGGAGCTATGTTCACAGTTTTTATGTTTCATCTGGTAGATTTTTTTAGGGATAGATGTTATTTATAAGCATGTTGTCTGAATTATAAATTGTGTTGCCTGTGTGTATGATAATAAAAATGTATGTTAAGTGAACCATATGTTATGAATAAATCCATCTTGCTTTAAAACTGAGGACTTACAGATAAAGCAAGTTTTGTTGTCATTTTATTTTATTTTATATTACTAATAGAAACAGGTATCTGAACAGTTCTGTTGATTTTTTTTCATAAGTTATTATTGTAAAATAATTTTTTTATGTCTGGGATTGTGATTCATTATTGAAGAGGTAATTAACTTCATGCACCTGTATTTGTAGATGGTGACCATGTTGTTAACTTATAACAGATCACCTAATGATTTTTTGTCGGCTATCCATATGTAATCTCAGACAATGGTGTTTGGATTATCCAAAGATCATAAAATTGTTTACAAATGTTGTTTGCTTTATTCAGAATGGTGTTTTAACAAGTTGTTAGTACATGAAAGACATTAAGAAACATATGTCTAAACTGTTGTTCTCATTGAGCTAAGGAGGCCCATTATATAAACAAAATCTTTCAGTAACAATTTTCGATTTATTTATTGAATCCCCAAATTTCACAAGTTTCCTTTGTGCTGTTTAACATTCATTAAAACAAATGGATAAGTTAAACATTACTGTCTTACTTTAAATGTAATAACTTCCTACATCTTTTCATACTTTTGAGTTGAAATGACACTTGACCTTTGTGTCAGCTGTCCAGCATAGTAAAAAACTAAAATGTTTACAGCCATTACAGATGACCATCTCATCTGAACAGAAAGAACTACAGAAAAAAGCTAAGGAGTATTTGAAGAATAAGCAGAAGAAGAGAACAGATGTAAGCATAGCTTTTTATATTTCTTGTGAGATCTTAGCTCTTATAAGGAAAGAGTAATGTAAAGTTTGTTATTATACCCTATATTGAAAGATGGTAATTGGTTGTTAGTAATGTTAAGTAACTTCTCAAACACTTGCATCAGAAAGAAATACAAATTTCACCAATGTAACACAAAATAAATATATGATGAACTCTTAACAAAAAAAAGAAAGATCAAAATAAGTAATAATAAAAAAGATCTTATTGTCTTATATTAATTGTGGAGTCGTAAAGTGTGTTGGTTATTTTGTGAGGAAGTTTAAACTTAAATGAAAAAATATTTTTTATCACTCGTACAATAAACATGTTTTTCTAACAGTATTTATTTTTCTATGTGTAACTTTATTGTTAGACCACAGTTAAATTATAATTAAGATCTTAAAAGTGAATGTTTGTTATATAAGGGGGAAAGTTTTTCGTACTATTAAACCTGAATCTTATCATCATCCTCAGGAAAAGAAAAGAAAGCGATCACTTGACTCTTATAGTTTTGATGAAGATGAGGAAGATAGCAGTGAAGAAACGGGAAGCGAATCAGAACCAGCCCCACCAGGTTTGTTTGGCTGTTTTATTTTTGTAGTGGAAAAATTGAAATGAATCTAGTGTCTCTTACATAATTTATTTTCGTAACTACTATTTTCTGTGTTAATGCAGAAATCATAAATCAGTTATAGCATTTTGGTTATTGATATTATATATAATGTGTCAGTTTTAAAAACAAACAAACATGCTAGCTAATACTGTTAGGGTTTTTTAAATCATCTGTTTTGTGCCAGGTCTTGAAGATGAAGCCACTGCAGAACAGGGAGACACCAAGGCTAAACCAAAGAAGAAGAAAACGAAAAAAAAAGTAGATCCTAAATACAGTTCTGAAAGCAGTTTAAGTAAAGATGAGGATGAAGATGAGTTGGAAGAGAATGAGAAAAGAGTAGAAAAACCAGGTGACAAACAAGGTAGTCCCGAAGCAGAACAAATTGAGGATAACCAAGATAATGATAAAAATGAAGATGGAAGTTTAAATGAAGGTAAGTTCTTCAGTTACACCATAGAGATAAAGCACAAGCTTATGATTGTAAGCTATCTTCCTTTAAATGCCTTATAAGATTTTTTCCTGTACTAGTCAGTTAGTTTTCATTGTACAATAAAATGCACGCTATCAATATAAATAGAAGGTGATTTTCTGAACATTAATATTTTCTTGACTCGTTTAATAATCTAAAATGTTTAACTATTTTAAGAACTTATGAGTTAAAGCAAAGACCATGTAATAATATGTCAACCACACAATACATGTCATATCAAGTGCAAACAAGTTCACCTTTTACCCAATACCAGTGGTCATCAGGATGGCTGGGATACAACAACACAGTAGTGGTCTAGGTGCTAGTTATGTCACCAGTTGCGTGAACAACAGCTGTTATTGTGTGAACTAGATTAAGTTAGTGGAGTGTAATTATTATAATTTTTATATGTCACAGTCATTATTATTTATTTTATTTCTAATACTAGTTACTTGCTAATGTTGTTAGTATTATTGTTATTTTTTAACTTGCATTAACTATCCTATCATACAGAAGAACTAACAAGCCAGCAAACTAATATTCTTGTTCCCGGAGTGGATCAAGCAACAGTGTCAACTAGAGAAAACTCTGTAATTCTAAGAACTTATGAGTGAAAGCAAAGAAGAATTTGTAGAAATATGTCAGTCACATAGCAAGTGCCATTAAAATAGCTTGTAGCACGAGAAAAATTGATGTACTAAAGTGATAATTGATAGAGTCATCAGGTTGGCTGCAATACAACAGAAACAGTAGTGGTAAAGGTGTTATTTATCATCAGTTGAATGAACAACAACTGCCATTGTGTGAAGTAGGAAGAAGAAAGTTATGTAATTGAGTATGAAACTTATAGAAGCAGAAAAATCATTTAATCCTAAAAAGGACTTCCGTCAAAAGATGTGTGGAAGTTTAACTCCACAACATCTTTCTTCTTCAAGTTATTTCTCAGGCGGACATTTGATTAATGCCAGAACTTACTGTTCTGGCTGGACTTGCATCAGTCAGAAATCTATAGGAAAGCACTACAAACCTACCATTGAGTTCCTGTTATTTTTATACAAAGAAAATTTTAGAAAGACTTTTTCGTCTTGGTGTAGCCTAACAGATGAGTTTTGGTACTAAATGAAATACCTCTTGGACAATGACGTGTGACAGATAAAGAAATTAATTTGAAAGGCTATTTCTTCACACACTTTTTGTTTGGAACCTATAAGAGAGTGATTAAGAGAAGTATTAAAAATATGTACAGTCTGTTTTAATGCTTATGAAGATAATTCTTAAGAAATGAGTAGCATGAGAAAATTTAAATGTTTACATTTAAAGCTATTATATGATAACCTTCAAAGTTTGGGGTTTAACTGCTGCTGATCTGCCTGTATGCTATTATTTTTATAAATGTTCTTCAACAAACTAAGATTGAATGCTCAAGCTCTGTAACACGTGGATGGATGTCATCCACAACAAACAGAAGCTGTGTGTATCCTTTCGACACATCATTGTAATGTGTGCTTACTATTGGATGATTTAAATTGCCTTAAAGAAACCAAAGGCGTTGATAAGAAAAAAGGTTAAAAGAAAATATAGACAAAAGTTCATAACAATTTTATGACCAAAAAATTTATTGGTTTGATGTTCTTAATGCTATATCTTGCAGAATTTGATTACAGTCCGGAAAGATAAAGTTTTTGATAATTGGTAAAGAACAAAAAACAAAGTGAAATAATTATTGCAACATGTTGCCCAGTACAAAGTTTAACAGAGACAGTTCATTTAGGTTGAATTAACATCATGGTCCTCGTAGATAGCTGTAATCATTGGTATTGTTATCTCTTTGAAAACTTAAGTAACTGACTATTTGAATTCTTGGTTTTCTTTACAGATTTATTTTATGTTCCTGTTAAATTATACAAAATGGCATTATTTCACTACACCAATGTTACAGAATATAGTACAGGAATATTGTTTTAATTGAGTGATAATGTTTTAAAAAACATGTAATAAATACTTTATACCTTTATTTGAAATGGAAAAAGTTACTAGCCAAGATAAGTTTGTAAAGAAAGAAATAGAGAAGAAATAATGTATTAAAGTATGTATTTTACATTTGTAGGGCACTTCATAGGGACTGAATATTGAAGATGATGATGCTAATTTTTATTGTGGCAGAGATCTCTGTGATATCTAATTCTTCTTTATATACTGAAATTCAAATGTCATCGTTGTGAACATTGTTAAACAAGCTATGAGTAAGATAGGTAATGCTAGAATGAGAAGATTTATGATATTTATGTTCTATACACAGAAGAAGAGGAGAAGAAACCTGAAGATGAAGTGGAAAGCAAGAAAGATGAACCAGCAAAGGATGATGGACCTCCAAAACCAAGACCTCTTCATAAAACATGTTCCATTTTTCTTAGAAACTTAGCTCCTACAATAACAAAGCAAGAAGTAGAAGCTGTAAGTTGATGATTTTACTTAAAATCTAGGCCTTTTTTTTTTCAAAAGTAAACATGTAACTTTAAAATATTTTGGGTCACGGGTGAAAGGCCATGTCATCTCCTTTATTGACTCACATTCAAAATTTTATTGAACTACTATTTCATGAATTTATTTCAATAAGTTTGGTAACAAATTTTAGATTATAACTCAAATTTTAAAGCTACACATTATTCAATTTGTTAATTTAAAAGTAAATATTAAAAAAACACAGATAAACATAGATTTTTGTGTGTCATGTGGTATGTTGAATGAAGCACTGGTTCAAATTAGATGTTTGTGAAGTCAAAATATTAAGTCTATAGTTTCATACAAATTAGAAACTCAAATTACTTATATTGACAAGCTAGAATATAAAATAAGAAGTTCTTATCTTTTCTATTTCTAAGATATTGCTCATATAATAAATCAAACACAGTGGCACCCCACCCACCTCTTTCCATTTTTGGAAACACTCCCTTATATGCACTTACTTCTATGTATGACATGAATAACCAATCCAAAGCTCAGAATGTCCTCCTAGTGGCTTTCTCAGCCATTTTAACTGGCTTGGCACAATTTTTTTCTTTTGAACCACTATTTCAACGAGGTAGGTTGTGTCTTTGGTCTGCTCGAAATTTCATATTTTTTAAAACACATCTTAGTTACTAAGCTTGATAAATTATAGTGGACTTCTATGGTATTGATGTAGTAATTTATGATTTTTTTAGTTATACAAATGTATATATAAAACCAAAAAAAAATATTTTGTTTCATATCCTCCACAGGCAAAATTTTTAAAGGCTTAGCAACTCGCGTCAATCAGCAACCCGAGTACAAAGGTCGTAACTAGAAGAGATAATTGTTTGCTTTGCTTTCTTTA